GGGATTCTTTCCTTTGCGGTCGGTTTGTCTTAGCAATGAATTACAATAAGCCTCATTCGGGAATTCATCTTAGTCGTATCTTGGAGGTATGCATGTTTAATTGGCTGGCCTTGGTGACGTGTGGGACGCCAGGCTGCCCAGGAGTGGTGATGGACGGGGGAGCAGGTGTTCATCATGTTCTTGCTTTGAATCTCGCTTTCACAAAGCATTAGACTTTGTGCTATTCTTAGAAGGATCTTATTCGAGCATTTTTAGAAGCCCTTCAACCTTATCGTGTTAACAAACGATTCCAGGGGTGAGGATGACCCGTTCTCGTTCATAACTCGTGCTCTGCCCCAATCTGGTGGCCAGTTGAGGCATGGCCACCTTTCGTCAAGGTTGATGCAACTTATCCAATCGCTGCGCACCGCCTTGAAATCGGCCTTGGGGGCCGGGCATTCCCTGTAAGGCGTAATGCTGGCTCGTGGGGGTGAAAATTCGAACAGGAGAACTAGTCGAAGAGGCTAGGAGTACTCGGAGGTGATGCGACTGATCTGGTGGGATGAAATTGCTTCGAATCTCTGGTTGCCCGTGGAGTGCGGTCCGCCTCATCGCCGTGGCCGCTGGCGGAACATGAAGCCGTATTCCGTTAGCTGAGTGCGCTGCGAAGGACTGACTGTGCCGCAAAACCGCATTGTTGACGTCCTCAACCGAGCGTATGGGATTTGCAAGACTGGGATGCTGTTGTGGCGCCAAGGATGTTTTTCCAGAACAGGTTGGCGAAGTCGTCTAAGCAAGGGTTGTCACACGGAGATATATTAATCAACGAGATGGTTTCATCGTCAAAACCGAGTACCGGGTTAGGGCAGCTGTGCTTGACCTTAGCTTCCTTGGATATTAATTGCGCGTGGCGGGTTCCGTGACCCCCATGAGATCTTCAAAGAAATATAGCGTAAATGCGTAGAAAGAGGATTTTCTCTCCTGTGATGAACCCTTCGCTTCGAAGCTCGGGGTAGCACAGCCTAGCTCCAAACCGCCCCGGTATACGGATAATTCGGCAAGGCACTGTTGCCTGGTGCGTGCGAGTTACGCCCGGCTTCTCCGTATCTCCGCTCAGCGGTGTCAGGGGATGGCGCCCCCTCGTGATTTCAAGACAGAACAGGGGTGCCATTCCGCTCGGGATAAACTCCCGATGTTCCAGCCACATACTTGCACCTCATCACCACTAGTCCTTCCTGATATCCCGCTACCAAGACCAATCAGGGGCTCCGCATTCGTGAAGGAGCGGTTGTAACCCTCTGCGGCTGCATGTCCTTTCGACAAAGTCCATGTCAACGGGCCCAAGCAGAGGTCCGAGCAGATGGCCGAGCAGATGCCCGAATGCCGGCACTTCAAACAATGTAACTCAACCTGCAAGAATTCTCCGAGTTCCGTTGTGTCTACCCGCGATAGCCGAGCACGGAAGCACCGTCCATGCTTGATGTGTCCTGCTGAGAATTCAATTAGAGAAACGCCTCTCCCCAGACTTTGGATCGAAGATCTGAGACGGATCTTCACAAAACAGAACTCTGTTCCACAGAGTCCACAAGCCTGGATGTAAGGTTCCTGCATAATCCTTGGGGCCATCATGTTCCCGGCGGGCCCTGCCGGCCCTACCGGTCCAAAATCTCCATGGTCCCACCAGCTGGGCGTGTCAAATTTCTAGACCACGTGTGCGAGGCTTCGATTGCAACATAAGCCTCAAGGGGGGTTGCACTACACTAGTGTACTTATTTGCCCGAGCCAAGGAGTGTTGCTGATGCACTGCCTACCCTGGACAAACCCCCGGTCATGACTTGTGATACCGTCCACACAAGCTCCAATCAACGCTTGGCATTGTCGACGAAGGAAGACTGAGGATTCGACGGCCCTTGTGTTAATCCCTCCCACCCATGTCTCTGGAGGGACCAGAGTTGAAACCAGACGTCTTCCCATTAGCTCATTTCGTAGTGCCCCCACGTACTTTCACTTCGTTCAGCACCGAACCGCATTTTCGCTACAGCTCTCGCTAACCAGAGCTTACGTTTGTGTTGCGTTACTAGTCCCTTTCGCGTTTGATTTGGACGCGGCAGCGTCAACGCGGACGCAGGCCCCTGGAAGCCGTCCCCTGGCCCCGGTGACTCCCACATCCCGCGGACGGAATACTACTGTGGGCAGAGGCCCGCGGGAAACATGTCTGGATGTAGGGAACAGAAGCGACTTTGATCGGCGCCAGAAATATCCGGAATGGGAAGAATATTGGCACACTGACCCTGTTGCATGCCCGCACGACCTGTGACGGAAACGAACGTTCTGGGAAGAGACCGGTATTCCAAGCCGGATTGGAGGAGGACTTTGTTGCTGAGGAACACGAGTTCTGGGAATAGCAACCGATATGTGAGACTGGCTTCTCAACACGCACGTCAACCCCTCCCCCGCGTGGCGCCCTCGTGTCATACATGGTGTACATGCATCCATACTTCCCCTGCATAGTCATAGGGCTCTGGTGCATGAGCCTGTCCAGGGTCTTGGGCCCAAGGAACCGTACGAGGCCCCGATTGGGGGAAGGATCGGCCATGTGCAGGAAATATTGGATTCTGACACGGGCCACGGTCTGGCGACTGCGCGCGAAGGGCTCCTGTATGATACGAGGCAGGGTTGCGCTTCCACCCACCTCACCGGTAACCCGGACGGTTGGGGGCGGCTCTGCGTGCAAACCTTCCGACCACTCCCGACCGTCCTCAACCCCATCGACATCCCCGAAGTGACGGGCAGCACTCATGCCGGGCCTTCCAGCCTGCCTGCAAAGTCCCTGCGCGGCACGGCTAAGATTACCATCGCGACGACCCCCATATGCACCGCCCTCAGACTATTGATGCGTGACTCAGGAGACTCAGCACATGAGGGTAGACGCGGCAACGTCGGCGATGTGCCCAGTGCGGCGGCCCATCCGGCTCGGAGAACGCCTCGCCTCGAGGCTCGAGGGCAAGAGGAGCCGGTCTTGCCGACCATGAAGTTTCGAGGAAGGAGACTAGAGAGAGAAGTATAAGTAAGTGACGCGAGCCAGGTGTTGGGAAAGCCTTTCCGTTACTCACCAGCTTCACATCTCCCGCCCTTGGGACACCTTCGTTGACTCTCTTCTATCTATCCAGTGTCTTATTCCAGAGGGATACCCTCACCTCCAAGATGAGGCAGTCCATCTTCTCCCTCCTTGCCACATTCACCGGCACCTTCGCCTTGAGCATTCCCCTCGCCCCCGATGGGCTCCTCCAACCACGACAGGCGGGGTGTGAGAACACGGCCGAGAGCCGCAACTGCTGGGGCGAGTACGACATCGACACCAACTACTACGATGTCTTCCCCGAGAACCCGGGCCCGCCCAAGGAGTTCTGGCTCTCGGTCGAGGAAGGGCCCTGCTCGCTCGACGGGTTCGAGCGGTCGTGCATGACGTTCAACGGCACGGTGCCCGGCCCGACCATCATCGCGGACTGGGGCGACGAGGTCATCATCCACGTGACCAACAACATGGCCAGCAACGGCACGAGCATCCACTGGCACGGGCTGCGCATGCTCAACAACGCGCTCAACGACGGCGTGCCCGGCGTGACGCAGTGCGGCCTCGCACCCGGCGAGACCATGACCTACCGCTTCCGCGTCACCCAGTACGGCTCGACCTGGTACCACAGCCACTTCAGCCTGCAGTACGCCGAGGGCCTCTTCGGCGGCATGATCCTGCGTGGGCCTGCCACGCAGAACTACGACGAGGACCTGGGCCTGCTGTTCCTGCAGGACTGGGCGCACGTTGAGGCCTTCACCAACTGGCACGTGGCCAAGCTCGGGGCCCCTCCGACCATGCCCAACGGGCTGATCAACGGCACCAACACGTTCGACTGCAGCGGGTCGGACAACGCGCGCTGCGTGGGCGGCGGCAAGAAGTTCGAGATGGTGTTCGAGCAGAACAAGAAGTACCTCATCCGGCTGGTCAACGTGGCGGTGGACGGGGCGTTCCAGTTCAGCATCGACGGGCACTCGCTCACGGTGATCGCGCACGACCTGGTGCCGATCAAGCCGTACACGACCGACAGCGTGCAGATCACCATCGGGCAGCGGTACGACGTGATTGTCGAGGCCAACGCGCAGCCCGGCGACTACTGGCTGCGGGGCGGGTGGAACACCAACTGCGGCATCAACACCAACGCGGCCGACATCACGGGCATCGTGCGGTACGACGCGAGCAGCACGGCGGACCCGCAGACGGAGAGCAGCGTCGACCCGGCCAAGGACTGCATTGGCGAGGCGCCGTGGAAGACGGTGCCGCACCTGGAGGTGGACGTGGGCAACATGCGCGGCGGTGTCGTGTACGAGGAGATGGGCACCAAGTTTGACGACTACTTCAAGTGGACCATCAACACGAGCAGCCTGTACCTCGACTGGGCGGACCCGACCATGGGGCAGATCTTCGAGGGCAAGAACTTGTTCCCGACCGAGTACAACGTTGTGCCTGTCAATGTGAGTTTCCCTGCCTCCGGTTCAAAAAGGATCAAAGAGAAAAAGGAATGAGGAAGAATTGTGCTGACCAGTCCATCTCGGGCGTCCGGTACCGACCCAGAATGGGCCGTCCTCGTCATCCAAGACACGAGCAACCTCAGGTAACTAACCAACCACCCCCTCCCTCTCAAACTCCCATCATCGATCCCCCCAATGGAAGCTGACCTCCCTTTCTCCCCCCACAGACTGGCGCACCCAATCCACCTACACGGGCACGACTTCTGGGTGCTCGCGGCCGAGGTGGGCATGTTCGACGGCGACACGTCCAAGTTCAACACGACGGGGACGTCGCGGCGCGACGTGGCGACGCTGCCGGCGAACGGCTACCTGGCCATCGCCTTCAAGCTCGACAACCCGGGCGCATGGCTGGTGCACTGCCACATCGCCTGGCACGCCAGCCAGGGCCTGTCGCTGGAGTTCGTGGAGAGCCAGTCGGACATCCAGACCGATGCCGTCAGCAGGCAGGTGTTTGACGACGTCTGCGCGTCGTGGAAGGCCTGGTCGCCTGTCTGGCCGCAGGATGACTCGGGTATCTAGATGGAAAGGGAGTGGAAATGGGTGGGCGGTTTTTTGCTTTGCTAATTACTTGTTTCCCTTGGTTGGATTTAACTATGCGGGGTTAGGTTGCCTGTTTGTCATTTTGTTGTGCGGCGATTCCAGGAGTAGGCGAGCAGTTGGAATTCAGATGTTGTATTTTTTGCCACTTTACTTTCAGTTATGCATCAACACATCTCTCTACTGTTTCCTTCGTGTTGTTGTGGACATGGAAACCGTCCAAACCCAACAGTGATACGACCTGGCATTTGTCGCTGCTCGGGCGCATCATGGCGCATTGAGACATTGACTTGGCTGGCAGATGATCCTAAAATGAAGAAAAAGAGACGAGCCCAAAATAAAAAACTGCAGCAGTCAAACCAAAGCTCTTTTCTAACGTCATGCCATTTCTTTGCGAGGTTGATGAGGTTGATGGAACAGCATGTATGCATTCGATTGAGGAGAGAAAGTTTCAAAAGAGCACGAAGGTAAACCATGACAAACGAAGAAGGGACGTCGAAAATTGGAATTCGCGTGAGACAGCTGGCAACAGCTGTTAGTAACTTGATAGTCAGCTGCCATGCTTGGCAGGTACCAGGAAGCTTGGGTACCTCGACAATGCGTCGAAAGAAGGACCGGACTGCACAGGCAATCACCAAAACCGCACCATGAGACGGGTCTCGACAACAGAGCTCGGCAGGTATCTCCTCACCGGCCAGCTCAATCGCCGGGGCTGTCTCCATCTCCAACCCTCCACGAGTTTCGGCAATTGCAGCGTTCCGACAAACGAACCCAAGCCGAGCATTTAGCAGTCAAGTCGAGACGACCTCAACAACCTCAACCCCACCCCCCGCCACCGTCATCCCGCTTCGGAAGCAGTTGAAAGATGACGCCCAGGTCCCTTAAGGCGACCGGGATGAAAAAGAAGAAAAAGGGCCGACAACCAAACCGTCCCCGGCTGGGA